AAAAAAAAAAAAAGAAACAATTAAATTTCCTGACCTTATATGTCTTTCTAGTGGGACAGCCTGACAAACAAGAAAACAAATACTTAATATAACCTTGGGTGGTGATAAGTGCTATGAAGCCTATTAAGCTGAGGAAGGAGACAGAGAATTAAGGGACAAAAAATTAGGGGACAGAGTGGTATTCAGATAGGACAGTAAGGAAAGAGCTCTGTAAGAGGTAACATTTGAGTGAAGACAGATTAACTGAAATAGTAAGTCATACTAACGTCTGGGAGAAGAGCATTTCAGATAAAGTAAGCTGCAAGTACAATGACCAAACAACACCAAAATATCTGGTTTGGCAACAGGGAGTAGGTGAAAGAGTACAGTGAAATGAGGTTAAAGAATCAGGAAGTGTGAATTACTCTTTTATGTTAAAAAAAAATGTAAGTAAACTTAGGAAATAGAAATATCAAGGGGTTAAAAAAAATTCTCAAAGATCACTCATATTGGCTAAATAAAAGTACTATAATTTCTGAGGGTAATTGTCTTCCCTCAGAAGAGCTCTTCCTCTTTGAAGAAACTCACAAATTGGTTCCTCAGGCTACTAAATGTAGATAAAAAGTTTCTGGAAGAGTGGCTTTCGATGTGAGTCCTGACAGCAGGGCCCAGACCCTTCTTAGCCACAAGTTTAAAGTGGGACCCCTGAGAACCTAGAGAAGTCAGTTCAGGTCTCTGTACTTTATTTTGCACTTCAAAGAACGGATAGATGGGTGTCTGACAAAGTACATGTGTTCTGCCACATGTGACAAGATTATATAGCAAAAATGAGGTTCATGGTGAAATGTTTGGAATTACTGTAGTAAAGATAGATGGATTCCTTTAAAAAAAAAAAAAAGATCACTCATACTTACATTTGCAAACAGAGGCTCGGTCCATTATCCATATCAGGGAAGAACAGTACTCACAGTATGTAGGGATGCTATACTGGGTGGCCTTAAAGATGTGACCATTGTGCTCTTCTACCTGAATAAAAAAAACAAAAACAAAAACATAGCATTTATGTTAAAGCCAACATAACAAATGCTGTCTTAACATAGTCAGCCAATGGGAAATCCTTCAATCCCTTGTTAAGTCTTCAATGGGCATTTACTCCAGGAGTAAATACGATCTTCTGAGAAACTAAATAAAGGCAATATATGTGGTCCCTACTTTCAAAAAGCTAACAATCTAGTAGAGAAACAAGATCAACTTGTATGAAAACAGAAAGGAATGCTACAAACATACAAGAGCTGTTTTGCATGACTCTGAATCAGCATTTTAAATTATAAAAATCAGTGGTGCTAGACAAACAAAAATTAAAGGACTTCATGACCACTAAACCAGCCCTGCAAGAAATTTTACCGGGAACTCCCTGAGGGGAGAAAAGACAAGAGGGGGGAAAAAAAAAGACCAAAAGCAACGAAGACTAGAAAGGACCAGAGATCACCACCAGAAACTCCAACTCTACAAGAAACATATTGGCAACAAATTTGTATCTCTCAGTACTCTCTCTAAACGTCAGTGGACTAAATGCTCCAATCAAAAGACACAGTGTAACAGATGGATAAGAAAATAAGACCCATCTATATGCTGTTTACAAGAGACCCAGTTTAGACCTAAAGACACCTTCAAATTGAAAGTAAGTGGATGGAGAACCATCTATCATACTAATGGTCAACAAAAGAAAGCTGAAGTAGCCATACTTACATCAGACAATCTAGACTTTAAAATAAAGACTTTAACAAGAGATGAAGAAGGGCATTATATCATAATTAAGGAGTCTATCCACCAAGAAGACCTAACAGTTGTAAACATTTATGTTCCAAATGTGGAAGCACCTAAATAAAATCAATTAATCACCAACATAAAGAAACTCATTGATAATAATACTATAATAGTAGAGGACTTCAACACCTCACTTACAACAATGGACAGATCATCTAAACAGGAAATAATGGCTTTGAATGACACACTGGAGCAGATGGATTTAACAGATATACTCTAAACATTTCACCCTAAAGCAGCAGAATATACATTCTTCTCCAGTGCACATAGAAGGTTCTCCAGAATAGATCACATACTGGGACACAAATCAGCCCTCAATAAGTACAAAAAGATCGAGACCATACCATTCATATTCTCATACCACAATGCTGTGAAACTCAAAATCAATCACAAAAAAAAATTTGGAAAGATAACAAATACTTGGAGACTAAAGAACATCCACTAAAGAATGAATGGGCTAACCAAGAAGTTAAAGAAGAAATTAAAAAGTACATGGAAGCCAAGAAAATGATAATACCCAGCCCAAAACCTCTGGGACGCAGCAAAGACAGTCATAAGAGGGAATACAGATAGCAATCCAGGCCTTCCTAAAGAAGGAAGAAAGGTCTCAGATACACAACCTAAACTTACACCTTAAAGAGGTGGAAAAAGGACAGCAAATAAAAACCCAAACAAGCATTAGACAGGAAATAATAAAGATTAGAGCAGAAATCAATGCTAT